TTAAATCAAAAAATATTTAGAGGTCGCACAATGCGCGCAAATTTGTCCATGTATTTTTCGTATAAATGTTGTAGAATTCTTGAAAAGATATATTTTTCGATCGGAAAGCGCTGTTTCACTTCAGTAAATTTACAGCAATAATACTCAATTTCTTATTTAACAATTTTTTTAATGGTAACTAGTATTTATATGTTCCCAAAAACTTCAAAAAATGCAGTGCGGAGACCAATAAGAAATAGTTAATACATATAAAATAAAGGTTAAGTAAATAATTGGATATAAAATAATTTTTTTTTGTTTGTTTTTAAAATTTATTAGAAAAAGTTGTCAGGGATCTTGTGTAGGTAATTAACTTAAAAAGAATTAAATAAAAGCAAAAGTTCATATTGATCAACTACTAGCATTGCAACTTAGACCAGCATTGCACTTAGAGACCAGCTTTGCGCTGTTCATCTAAAGCACCGCATCTACAAAACAAAGTACAGTTCAAGTGACCAGTTTTGCACTGTTCGCCTTGTACTTGTAACAAAGATTCCCGCTGGAATGACAGCTTTTACAATAAAAAAGCCATTTGGTGAAATGCTTAAAAAAGGATTGCTTATAAACAGTGTGACCAGATAATACAAATATTCTCTTACAAATATAGAGTTGATATACATACAAAATACTTATTCTAACGTAATTCAGCTACGGATATAATATTTTTTATATTAAAAATAAAAAAAAAAACAGGGTTATAATTTTTTTCGGTATAGAACAGTCTTCGAGGGTGAGACATTAAAATTCGGACTTAACTTTTTTCACATGCATTTTTTTTGACTACCCTAATGTCCATACTCAGCGCCTGGCGAAGTAGCAATCAAAGTTTGATCGATTGAAACCTACATACATAGTAAGCATATAGTTGGTACATAAAAAAAAAAATAGATATGCGTCATCTTCGCCATACTTTAAGAGTTTAGTTATCTTTTAGACTCCTTATCAGGCTTTTCAATTTTGTGTTAGAGTCTCATAAAACGGGAATTTTGAATTAATTTTTGTTATTATTAAACGAGCTATGCTTTAATGTAGGTCACAAGAGGCAGTTAGTCTGTCTTTCGTTCGCTTCTCCCTTTCTTTCGCATGGTAGAATATAGACAAATAAATTCCTTTACTATCAATTTGCAAGAAGAAAACAACAAAGCAATTACTATGGGTACTAAGTTGTCTTGCCTTATCGAAATTACTATCTGTGACAGTGGAAGCAGGAAATTCCAAAAAATTTGTACAATTCCTTTTTATTTAACGAATTCCTGCAAGGAGCTTTGCTCAGTCCTTTGCAAGTTTCCGCTCAAATAAATAAAGAGTTTTTATAGCCTTATTGTCATTTCTTGTTAAAGAAATATGTATGTATGTGGCATAAATGGCATTACCCGAAACGACATTTTCACCAAGATATATAGAATAAACTCTATTTGTTTTAATATAATGACATATCCATTTATAAATGCATTTACACACTCACACTTAAATCTTTATTCTTCATTTGCTATATTTCAGGACTCTTGCGACTGCAACAAATTTACCAAGGACTCAAACCGGGCAACGAGTCATTTCAAGTGGAGATGGTTAAACGTATTGCCAACATAACAATGGCCATCGACTTTCTGCATACGCTCGAGGATTTGGGACGCTTCAACAACAAATACATTGTGCTCGATTGTCCAACGGAAATGGCGAAACAAATACTCATACAACATGTGCGCGATATATCGCTAGGACGAAGGACGTATCAT